AATCTAGATATCACTTTATCCACCAATGAATGAAACATAGTCCTAGTAGCACGTCCTAAAATTAAAGGCATCCCTAAATATTTATCCAAATGTCTAGTACTTGGAATGCCCCTATTTTTGGATAAAGTTCTAATTACCCTTCTAGGCACATTGGAGGAAGAGATCATTGTCAGCACCCAGATTTTGCTTGGTCCCTTCCCCTACCTCTTCGTACCCTCCACTTGGACCTCAAAAACTAGGAAACACAACCAGGTTAACTTGACACTTTCCAAAACCCGAAATACCCTCCCTTGACACAACCTATGGGACGGATAAGAACATTGAGATCAATATCACTGTTCGATCAAACATCATCACAGACTTGGAAAACTATAAATTAGTTACACATCAATTTTCATTACTAAACCGCAAAGATCCATCGTTCATCACACCAACTTCCTTTCTAACGGCCCAGATCTATGCGATATTCAAACTCCAACTCCATAAAATCAAATCCAACACACCCATCACCTCAAGATCACTAGGAAGCAATCAACTAGCAAATCCCACCACAAATCTACGATGATCAAACTACAAAAACATCAACGTCCCATTTTGATGGCCCTGAATGATTTCCAAGATCGACCATATCTTTCTCATATCAGAACTATCCACTTGATGCCTCACCTTAATCTGTGTCTACCCACCAAATTGTAGCTCAAAATTCCCCCGTTTAACCCACCATCAAGCCTATATCCCATTTCAACAATTCTTATTAATTAGAGCATACCATTTGTCATCCCAACTTCATATGACCAATCAGACCTTACCACCATGTTCAAAAATCCAAAAAACCCTAGAATTTCAAATTACACGACCAAACTCCTCAATTTGCCCACTAAAAAATTAAGATTCCATTTTGGGCCCTCTCGTTGATTGAAAAACCATAAGCTAAGATCATGATTTGAACTAAATCTGTTAATCCAAACATTTGATCAAAGATCCATAGCTTTCATCAGATTTGGGGTGATCAAAAATGTCTACCTACCAAATTGTAGCTCAAAATTCCCTCATTTGACCATTCATTAAACAAAAATTCTATTTCAGCAAATCTTATTGATCCGAAGTTGTCAATCATAGATCTCCATCATTCCAACCCTATTTGTCCGATTTGACCTCACTATTGTGTTTAGATACCCAAAAACCCTAACACACCAAATTCATCCGTTTGATCGTTAAATTATAAAGATACCATTTCGACGTTATTTGTTCCAACCTGAAGCTTCAAAAGGGTGAGGGACTGATATTAACCCCTTACCTAGCCCATTAGAACACCTGGACCAATGAAATTGAGCCTAATAGACCCAAAAAACCCAAAGGTACCCCCACATAAAGCTAAGAAAACAAAACTACATTTAAAAGTTCATCAAATTTACATTTTCTGCCATTGACAACCCCAAATACGAGACTGCTATGCCAGGCACGCCCCAAGCTCCCATTGGACACATAAAACCCATGAAAATCACCCCAAATCAAAGATAATCTTTCACCAAAGAGGAAAAGTTGATTGATCACCATTTTCTTTGAAAAATCCTTACCCATTCTCTTGTAAAAGTTTTCTTGAAGCCCAAGCCTTGTGATTTGATGAATTCCAGGCCACTTCCCTTCCCTTCCTCTATAAATACAGTCCCAACTCAAGCTTTGAAAGGAGGAGGAAACCTGAGGGAGGCTCGAGAGAGAGAGAGAGAGAGAGACGGGGAAGAGAAAAGAGTGTTTTCTCCCAACCCATATACTGCCTCTTATTCACCCGAAATTCGGAGGTACTTTGAACTTCAAATTCTGAACTCGCCTCCTCCATTTTCAAGTGGAAGTTGTTGCAACTAAAAGCATTCCCTAGCTTAAGAACCCATTTAAACTTCATCCTATATCATCCCTAGCTGCTGGAAAACTTTTGACAAGGTACATACGAAAGGTAAGTCTTTCATTTTAACTTCTAAACCTGATTTCATAATCTCTATTTTTTTTTAGTTTATTTTGGGTTGCTTTAGTTTTAAGACCTTGGAGAAGCATTGTTCTCGACTTCTTTTAAACTAAGTATAGAGGTAGAGAGGAAAGGGCCCTATGGAAATTAGTACCTAAGACCTGATAACATAACCTCAAAGTCAGTCTGAGGAGAAGCTGAGAGCACGTTTCTCCAAATTTTATAAATTTTAGCAGTTGTGTTTATTGGTTTTCTGAAAGAAATTGAACCTAAATAACTCCCTTATTTGAATGCTACAGTAGCTTGGAGAGAGGGGTTCCTAATACCTTCTCTCTCCTAATCCTTGGGACCCGAAATCTCTCGATTATGTGCCTTTTCCATGGAGAACGGAATTACTATCAAATACTTAAATTGAAATTTTCAAATATAAAAATGATGGCCCATTTCCTCTAAAAAATGGGTGTAGACTCCATTTCTATGAGTCGTCCATGAGCTTCCCGGAGCTCATAATCATTAAAAATTTTCTTAAGCTATTGTTTCTCCTACCTATTCACAAAATGAATGTAATATACGCAAAACACACCTCAACTATTTTAAATAACCTTGACACATTATAAAAATGTCATCTGCAAAGAAAAGATGGGATATGGGAGGCATTGACATAGAAAACCTACAAGGTTTTAGGTTCTTCTACCCCTAGTAGGACAAAAAGGCACAAGAAGCTCTCCATTAAAAATTAATTGGATGGAAGCCTGTGAAAGACCAGCTCAATTTATCATACACTTTCTCTAAGTCTATTTTTAATCCTAGATATCCTCTTATTCCTTTTTTATGTTTGAAATAGTGGAGGATCTCATGCATAAGGACAATGTTGCCTTGAATATTCCTCCCTAGAATGAAACCCATTTGGCTCTCAGAGATGATGTATGGCAGGAATGGTTTCATACAATTGACAATTATCTTGGTAACCACTTTGTAAATTGTTTACATAAACTTATAGGTCTGAATTGACCTACTTTCTCTGGAATAGCTTGTTTTGGGATCAAAGTAATCAAAGTTTGATTCAATTCCCTAAGAACTTCCCCAGTTTGGAATATTTCTATAATAACATTTATCGCATTATTTCCTATAATATTCCAATGTTTCTTATAAAAATTCCACAGTAAGAGTAAGATCAGAATGGGCAGTGATCTGAAACCGTACGAGGCAAGTACAATAAACTGGCTCTCTGAAATAGATGAATCCATTCCGCATTGTAGAGCACCCTATCCAGATGTGTCTGCATATATATATGTCTTCTACTTGACCACGTAAATCAATCTTGGACCATGGTAAGGCATACCCATAAGTTGACATATATTCATAGTTTCATGCAATGTAACTCATTTTCTGAGAATTAGGAGATCGACCACCTCTTTTCTCCTCCATATTAAGGACTGCATTAAAGTCTCCTAGTAAAACCCAACCCATAGTTGATGTAGTGCACCAGTGATTGTATTTCCATCCACGTTTCCCTATTTCTTTTGAGGCTCCGGATGGCCTTACACAGCTGAGAACACCCATTTTGGCTGAGAAAGATGCAAATGAATTACCGCATGAATACATCTGATCCACTTGAGATACGGGCAGCTTCAACACCAACCTCTTCATTAACATCCAAATACCACCTGAAAAACCTTGAGCATCCAGGAGAGAAGAAACAAAATCTTAAACAGAGATATAAATTAGTAGGGATTAGCTGAGGGGATTTGCTTTAAGAGCCGGATTAATACATTGTGTCATGCAAAGAGGAGGATTTGCAAAACATAACCTTAATTTGGAACATTGTGTCATATGTAGCTTTGTCATCCATGTAAATTGAATGAAGATTTGGCATTTCATTCCAGGTGAACAAAAGAAATCATTGAAAATCTTGGAGATTTTTCTAAAAATCTTGTTGATGATTTCCATTATGATGGTACCTAAGAAATTAATAACCAATTCATACATTTTCTGTACCTAAAATTGCTTTCTTTCTATGAAATTTCTAAAATTTCACCAAAATTAGAGAGGAATGAAGGGTGCACCGGTGGATATGCAACTTTGTGTCAGACGTGGCTAAATTTATGGCTACGTGGCAAATCAAAACCATTTCTATTGAGCCCACCTGGAGACTAGCACGTCATCCAAAATTTCCCAAAGTCTAGATTTACATCTCTATGGCCCTATTTGATGATTAAATACATGTTCAACTTAGAAGTACTTATTTTAACAATCACTTAAGGCTGTTTGGTAACCCATTTTTCAAATCACTTATTATGTTTTTAAGCACTTATTGGAGAGGGGATATTTGGTAAATTACATTCCGCATAAGTGTTAATATTGACACAAATGACAATTTTACCTTTCATTGTAGATTATTCAGATCTCTTCCTTTCCCTCTCATTTTCTTCACCGAAACTATTGGAACCGCCGGAACTGTAGATTGGCACTCTAGTTTCTAGGAGTCTAGTTTTAGAGGAACTGACCCTCCGTCTATGTCATATATTCCTCTCGGGTTTCTTTCAACTGTGAACCGAGTTTAAATTGTAAGCAATGGCATCAATAATGGGCGGCCAGTTTTTGTGGTCAATATATCTGCTCCCTGTTTGTTATCCTTCAGAACTCATGGGAGGCACATGCCACCACACTCTGTTAAGAATGCCAAACTTGGTTGATGCGACTATCAATATTGAACAACCCTTCGACTGTCTCAACTCTCAACTCTCGGGTTTTTGTGGTCAATATATCGGCTCCTCCTGATCCTGAACTCGACTGTCTCAACTCTCAAGCAGTTGGGTATGAGGGTGTCGATGATGATAATAAAAGAATTGCCTGCCTGGGATATTTTCCCTACAGAGATGTTGTCCAAACGTGAAGATATTCAAATTGGAAATGGACGAACCCCGGCATCTTGATTGGGTGGGCACCACTGCTAAAGACCAAGCATGTTTCACTCAATCTTCTCCTTCTTCTGTTTAATTTTAGTCCTTCATAAATGTGCTTGCTTTTTAGGAGCTGGTTGATACTGAGGAAATTGAGAGGGTATGTTTAGCTTCGAGGAAGAAGACTTCTGGAAATCACATATGATCTCTGGTTTCCCTCTCAGCACCCTCAAGAATGTAGAGCTCAACTGGCTCAGTAGAAGCAGAAACGAGGTCCTTAGATGGCCAAGCTCTTGTTAAAGAATGCTGAGGTGCTGACTGCTGCAAGCGATCGATGTCCATCCGTTCCATTCCAAATGCTCAACCAAAGGATTACTTTAGAGCTTCCAACTACACAACTACTTCGAGTTGAAATTTTCCAACAGCTTCTCCATATTTTCGTATAGTGTTCTTGTAAAATCTGATTGTCGTAGTAATGCTTTCAGAGTTCAGCGCTTAAAATTCTGGTGATGGTTTGTGATGAACCTGCTGTGCCTTACCTTTCAGTTCACCTTCGCTCGTCAATAATACAGACGGTAGTATTTCCTGCATCTCTGAAATTTGCCAACTTCCTCACAAAATCCTCTTCCTCTCTTTCAGAGAACTGAACCTGGACAGCCCTCTTGTTCAAAATATTTAAATTAGGAGAACCCAAATTTAGTACTCTGTTTCTCCCTAATATCCAAGAGCTGTGAACTTGGGTCGTCTCGGAGCTTCCGAAAGGCATTAATGGCAGAAATAAACTTGAATTTCCTTAGATATTCTTGGGCTAGAGGGATTACAACAAGCCAAATGAACGTAACTCCGGCCACAAAAAATGGGTTTCGGTTGAAGAAATCGTCAATTGAAATTAGAACTGATTCCAGGTTGATCTTATTCGACACCTGCTCAGCGGAAATACTGGTTTCAGTGGCATGCAGGGGAAAGAGCACAAACTACCATGAAAGCGAAGGGTAGTTGAAGTTTCAGAGAATTTCGCAAGAAAGAAACTGCTTTGCAGACTGAATAGCGGTTATCTAGGCGATTTAGAAGATGGGTAATCGTAATTTCGGCACCAAGTTCCATCTGTCTGATCAAAAGATGGTCTTCAGGAAAGGAAGAATGAGGGAGGCATGATTTGAGTTCAGGGGTGGTGGGGGAATGCAACCGACCTGCAACCAAACGTCGCCGGTGGACCTGCAACTAAATGCCGCCGCTGCCTGTTGCTGTAGGGTTTCGAATGAAAGGAGAAGATGATAAATTCGAGTGGGGGTACCTCTTTTTTACCAAACAGCCATAAATATTAAAAATCACTTAATGTGTGATCCCATGGAATACTTATTTAAGTGTTTTCAAACACTACCTACATCTTGGTTCTTAGTCAAATTACAACTCTACATCGATCTCCCCTCGGCCCTCCAGTCGCTAACTCGGGATCTGCTGCTGCTCATTTAAACAACCCATGAAAAATGGTTGCCAACAAAGCCTTACTTCTCCGTTAGTTCTCCCCTTACCGTATATGTATGTTTTCTGCTCCAATCGCTTTCACCCAAGTGTAGAAGTTCTCAGACGCCGAGCACCTAGTACTGCCTGCGATTTGTGACTTGTGAGTAGCCAAACCACTCAACCTAAATTTCGCTCCAATGTAGCTGGCATCACAACAACCGATTTCAAATAAGCATACTCTCTGCCTTCTCTCTTTTCTGTTTCTACAAAATCTCTTTAGTTTAGACTGTAGATTATTCTGTCTTTGTCTCTGGATTTAACTTATCAGAGAGAATTTTAGCTTCTTTCTTCTTCATCTCGTCCACACAATCAAGATGTGATGTATCTGGTAACATCTTTAGGCAGATATCATGGCATCTGTGCTGCTGGACCTAACAAACCCTAATAGTTCTTTCTCCACGGAGAGCATGAGAACTCATGATTGCTTTTAGCTCTCAATTTTCCTTTTGTTCCCCACACCCAATTGTTCATCTGTAGGAAGAAACGAAACGAGAATGGCTGCAAGTAGTTTGGTCACAGAAGCAGTGTGGAAGGAAATTGTATCGACCCGTTCAGGTCTACCTCTGTGCTTGTTTAAGCTCAATTCAATCAGCATCTCTGCTTCTATCCTACCGAATAATGTTTATTTGTTTCCTTTCTTATTTCTTATTGTTTTTGGATCGTTAAACCGCATTAAATGACGCAAAGGTGAACTAAAATGGTGCAGTGACAGACGATCAACTCTCAATGTCAGTAATTCTTCTCCATTCTAAAGGCTTGGATTAGTTGATAATAAAGATAAGAAAAATCTCTAAACCTAATTGGAATTTAATCCAGCTTGCACTTCCTGTTCGGAAAGAACTTTGAGAGAGCAACCAGGATAGTTGATCAGAGAGGTGTCAAGAGGATTTCTGGTGAACTCAGTGGTCGTTCTGTCTTCCAGGTTTGTAATATTATTCACTCTCTTCTATTCTTTCTTCCTCAACTTTGTATCTGTTCATTTGGGTTTTTAGTGGCCATTTATTTTACTGTTATTAGGTAACAGGAGAATCCAGGAAGAAGGAGGAGTATTTCTGTTTTCCCGAGCACTACTGTGCCTGCTATTCTTTCTTCTATGATGTTGTCAACAGGGGAGAACAGATTTGTGTAGGAAAATTCTTTCTTACTCATTATTAATGGGACATTTTACACTTTTTTGTGCTCAATCGAGTTCCCTATGTATTATTGCTTTGTCACCTGATGTTCCGTTTTATTCTCTTTCCTCCTTTCTCATTACAGTGTAAGCATCAATTAGCTGCACGGCTTGCTGTTTCAGTAGGAGCATGCGTGGAAGTCAAGGTGTCTGATGAGCAACTAGCACTACTGCTTTCCAAATTTTGATATCTTTGGACAGTACTGAAATTTTTAATTGAGAAGGTATTGAAAGACAAAGTTGACTTGTTTGTCTCTTGGGGATTCAAGACTCACTATGGATGTTTTTGGTTCAGAAGGTCAAATAAACAGAGGATTGAGTGCCATTAATCAGCAACCAATGCTGATTCGTGTCCCTTTCTCTGTCTTCTTAATGTATTCCGAGGAGAGTATGGATCAGTAGTCCAAATCTTTTTTAAGTTGTAGCTTGTATGTTTCAGTTAGGGCGTCTGATCTTTTGTACTAGTTGATACCAAACAAAAATGTTTCTTCATGGCTTTGGAGGTATTATGGAGTGTAAATGAAGCAAGGGTTCCAAGATGCTTGGTTTAAATACTCTGTGACACTGTATTATCTGCTCCTTATGAGTCTTTTATGGGATGTTCACAGTTGAACTTCATCTCATTCTTTATACCAGTTGAGAATAAAGGTCTGTTTTTTGGTTGATATACTTGCATGCAAAAGAGAAAAGAAGATGAAAAATAAAAGGGGTTTCTATAGTTCAGTCCACCCCTAGCATGGAGCTAGGATTCCTAGGGATGGACTGAATCCTGCCCGTGGATTGTTGCCAAATTCACAGGCAGGATGCGGTAAAAATGGATAGGTAAAATGACTTGTATTCATTTGCAGATAGGAAAAAGTTGCCGGTTGCTTCACTAAAGACTATACCATTTTCTTCCTCCAAAAGGTTCCAAATGTGACTCATATCTGGATTTCATTGATCATCTCATCTCCTGTCTTAGCAATATTTTGGTGCTGTGTATGGTATGAAAATGTTTACTTAAGGCTTGCTTGTTTTTATTGCTATATTAGCTACAGTTGAGGTTAGAGATGGAAACCACCACTGGGTAATTGGCTTTTGTTTTGACTGGAGAATATGTGGTTTGATGTTTTTTAACGAGTACCTGAGATATTTCTCCTAAAAGGTTGCATTGAGTTCTAAATGCATGTGTCAGAAATGTATGGTTTGATAGACATTCAAATCAAGGTCAAAGTATTGGAAATGCTATGCGGAAAGGTAAATTTAAGAGGCATATCGAGATACACCTTGGATACACATGGATATGGACAAAAAATTAAGATACACATGAAAACACTTGGAAATGCTATAAATACTCTAATAAATCATAAATAAATATCAATATCACTAAATATAAAACATAAATGAGCTATTTATGCATAAAAATAGCATGTTTTAGTGGGTTTTATGAAAAAAACATATTATAATCAATAAACGGGAAGTCGGGAACAGAAACATACTATCTAATTATGGACATAATAGATCAAGTAATTATTTTGCATGTTTTATTCTAAAAATTAAATTAAAATTAAGAAAAATAAATATATAACAAAAAAATTGAATGGATTTATGGATATAATAGATGAAATAATTATTTTGCATATTTTATTCTAAAAGTATACTAAAATTTAAAAAATAAATAAATATCAATTATTCAATGTTTTAAAACACAGAAGTGTTCCACTACCTAGAGGCGTGAAGCATAGTTCAAAATAAAAGAGGCATAAACTTCCTTAAGAGGAGGAAGGAGGAAGGAGGAAGGAGGAAGGAGGAAGGGGGGATTTCATTTTTTTTCTTTATCTTTAATAAAAATCTTTTATATTAAAAAAAATAAAAATGCATAACATTTGTTAAAAGGGGGGTCTTGTCGAAGCAAAGGCAAGCGAGAGAAGCGAGCTCATTGAAGCGGAGCAAGACCCCCCTAACTCTAAAAAATAAAATTGGGCTACATCGAAAAAGGGGACGGGGGGGTTGGGGCCAGCCGAAGGGGCAGGGGTAAACCACTTTCTTTCCCCTTATCTTTTCTAACATTGGCTGAAAATGTAAAAAAATAAAAAAAAAAAAAAAAATTGGAAAAACATATTTATTTTCACTTCTTTTTACACAACCTTGAAAAACTTATTGAATCTTGGCACCTTGCAAATTTATAAATGTTTTTTGTCAAATGTTTACAAGATTTGAGTCTTTAGAAAGGTTAAAAAGCTTTTTGGAGGGTTTGGGAAAGAAATAGAACTTCTGAAATGGGTTTAGAAGCCATCTTTCGAAATCATTTCTATTTGTGTGTTTAACAACAGTAAAATCGTTTTGTATCGGCCAATACACTACCGTATCAATTGCGTATCGACCAATACATGACCGAAACTCACCAATACAACACCGATACAGCGTCAATACACCTTCGGCACGACGAAAAGGAATGGTACGATTGATTTCAAACCGTTCCCCGTGCCGAAAGCCTTAAGATACAATACGTATCGACCGATACATGACAGAATTTTGAACCTTGATTCGAATAAATCTAGAATCACTCAGAATTGATTGAATGTTTACAAACTTTTCCAGAACCATAGTTGAACCCTTGTATTCTTTATGAGGAAAAAAATACAACAATATCAAATAGGTGATACTCGAAATTGATTATTAAAGGGCTCTGACAATTACTCAAGGATATAAAGTTCAAATTCCAGACATACCTAGAGCTATCAGAATTAACTAAGGGTAAGTTTGGTTTGCGGACAGGACCGGAATCGGAATCACCTATTCCTGGCATTTGTTGGTCCAGTCAGGAATCAGAATCAAATTCCGATTGTTACTGTTTGGTTCAACTAGAAGCTGGAATCGGAATCAGCCAAAATTTCCAATTCTTCCCCTGTTAAAAGAATCTCAAAAACATCTACTAATTATATATTTTCAACATATACACACATTGGAAACCTGCTACCAAGTGCATATGGAGAAAATATGAAAAAAAGAAAAGAAACACACAAACAAATAAAAATCACAAAAAATCATTCTCCATAAAATATGGAAAGAAAAATACATAAATAAACAAAAATCTCTCATAATGGTGGAAATATTACTGGTACAACATGAATGTTTAAAAACAAAAATCTCACATCTATAATACGATGTCACTCCTACATTTCATCTGCTACAATTAAACTTCAGCTCAAAAGGCTAGAACTTGGTCGTAATTTGGTGATTGATGAATAAATCCTAGTCTTCTGGCATCTGAACCCATATTTTTTACAGTGAGTTCCATCTGAACCATTTAACCTCATGAACCAATTATGGACTGAGATAAGTAAGTGCATAAACTGAAAAAAGCATGTGGGTTGCATGATTTTCACTTCTAAAATCCAAAAAAGGAACCAACCAATTAGACATGTATACATCAACCATCAAAGCAATAATTGAACGGATCATACAACCAACAGAACAAATAGATAAGCATCATGTAGTAAAGGGCATCTTACCTGCATGTCTGTAGCAATTTATCAAACAATTCAATCCTCTTCCATGGGAACCTCTGGAATATCAAACCTGTCTTCTTCAATTAACAGGAGATGGTAAGACTTTCAGGTCTTGGTTATTCATCCCCTGGATTCCCATGACAGCATCCATCAAAATTAAATATGATTTTTTCCAACTGCCAGTGCACTCCACTCAACCAAACTTTCAGGCTTCCCAACTGCCAGTGCACTCCATTCACAATGAAGCTTCCTGCTCCATCCAGTAACAAAATCTTAGACGGGTTCAAGCTTAGTCCAGAATTCAACTAGGTTGATCATTGGCTAACGTTACGCCTTTGATTGATAGGTTTATAAATTCAACTAGGCTGTTTGATTTTGAAGGTTCTATCTGGTTTTTGGTACATATAGGATAAAAGAGTAAACTAAATTACTGAAATACTGCTGGAAAGTGTGAACCATCCTTTTGGGTCTAAAAACATTCTCTCTCTCTGAAAGTTACTGTGAAAAAGTTGTAATGGTACAGGATAGCAGTGAACCAAGTCTATTGTACTGCATATTATTGATAGAACCAAGTCTATCGTATCATATTGAAATGAATGTAAAGCATTGAAAGAAGTCAAAGCAATGGTGCCCAAACTTCTATTTATAATATTTGATTATAAATATGCATGGCAGTTGGGGAGATTGCAAATGTGCATGAGTTGGCTGATATTTTGGGTTGCAAAGTAAGATGTTTGCCTTCAAAATACTTGGGTTTGCCATTAGGGACTAAGTTTACATCAAAAGCCATTTGGAACCCAATTCTAGAGAGGAAGGACTTGAAGCTGGCTGCTTGGAAGGCTTGGTATCTTTCTAAAGGAGTTAAGGTGACTTTAATAAAAAAATGTGTTGGCAAGCATTCCAGCTTATTATATGTCCATGTACGCAATCCCCTCATAGATTGAGTGGAAAATGAGTGTGGAATGGTTGGAAGGACTCAACCAAATATCATTTCATGAACTGGGATCAGGTTTGTAAACCACTATCACATGGAGGCTTAGGAATCAGGAAGGTAAATCTCTTTAACAAGGCACTTTTGGGAAGATGGTTTTGGAGGTTCTCTACAGAACCCAAAAATGTGAGGAAGATCATAGCTGAGAAGTATGGAATAAGCAGTAATGGCTGGGAGCCTGGGATGCAGAAAATTCTCAATTATCCTAAGGATGTGGGGTGTGGGGTGTGGGGTGTGGAGAGGTATTTCTAGAGCTTTTAGCAGTTTCAATGAAGGTTTAGAGATCAAACTGGGAGATAGAAGGAAGTTATGGTTCTGGATGGACCCTTGGCGTGGTGAATTGGCCAGGTTTCCGACCTTGTTTAATGTTGCTGAAAACAAAATGGCCTGGGTGGCTGAATCCTATGAGGTGTCTGGAAACATGATCACATAGACTCCTTCCTTCAGAAGGCACTTCAATGATTGGGAACTTGATTTGGTGATTTACCTCTTAGCTCTACTACAAAATTAGGACCCAAATCTAAATTTTCAAGATTCAAGATGCTGGAAGTGGATGTCCTCAGGGGAATTTTCAGTTAAATTCTTTTATAAAGGATTAGTTGGAGCTAAGGGATCAATGCCCTAGTTTGGCTGTTTGGGAAACTTCTATCCCGTCAAAAGTGAAATTCTTCACATGGGTAGCAACTTTGGAGAAGTGTTTGACTAAAGAAATGTTAGTAAGAAGGGGTTCAATGTTCAAGACAGCTTGTGAGTGCTTTGTAATGCTGAGGAAGAATCAATTAGCCATCTGTTCTTGCATTGCAGGTTTAGTAATGTTGCTTGGCTTCATTTTATCGGGGCACTCAATCTGCAATGGTGTTTCCCATTTTCATTTATCTCTTACAAGAATGAAGTCTCCCGGATATGTATAAAAAAGGGAAACTTTCTTGGCCAGTTATCCCCTAGCAATTATGTGAGCCATTTGGAATAAAAGAAACAATAGAATTTTTTAACAGAAGTCAACACCAGAAACAGGGGAGATAAATATGGTCAACATCCTCATCCATGCCTTATCCCTAAAAACAGTTGATACTTTCCAGAAATTTCCCAATTTAAGGGTTCCCAGAACATTTATCAATGAAATTCCTGCAACTATAAAATTTAGACACATACTTGCAATACTCTGCCAAAAGATTCCATATGTTGATAATAAGGGAAATATCAAAAAGGGAGATTTAGAAACTGAGAATTTAAATGTTCATGGAATTGAGAGAATTTTGACCCTAAGCACATTTGTTTGAATATTATTTTGCATGTCTATCCATTCTACATTACCACAATGAGCACTTTTATTCCTTGGTCTTTTTTGAGAGTATTTTTTTGTTAGTTTGTTAGTATTAACCATGTCTATGTAATCTTTCCTCATTTTTACTTCAAGGTTCCAATGTTCCAAGTCCATGATGCTTCCATCAAACTCAAAAACTTTATACCATTCTAAAATTTCCTCACAAACGTTCCATGAAATTTCTCATTTTTCAAGACTGAAATTTCCCTCAAAATCAAAATTGCAAACCTTGCACCAAGAGTGTCCAGATCCAAACTGTTCTCTTGTTGTAATTTAATGTGGCAAGAAAATCATTTACCTATCAGCATCTACACAAGACAAACAGAAATAAAATAAAAATCTATGAACTAGTTGGTACTTGTATTTCCTCAGTAATTGAGGTGCCAGGGCAACTGGATTTTGACAAAGCACTAGCGTTGGGACCATGAGATCCCTGGATAGAAGCTTAAGTGGCAAAATGCATGTTGTTGGAAATGTGGAATCAGCACTAGGAATATCAAGTGGGATTGGCTCTAGAAGTTGGTAACAGTATACAAAAGTGGATCTGAATGAAATATGAACGTTTGTACCTCATATCATAGTCTTAGTAACTCAAATTTGCCTTGAAATAAAAATATAAGTGGTGAAAGCTAGATTAACTAGTATATAGGATTCTATCGATATTAGTCCAGTAAGTCAGAAACATATTATACCATTAGTAAGAAAGACATTTTCCATCACTTTGACGCAACAATAAATATTTAATGTAAAATTGAGGCATCTCATGTAGCTACTTGGTTAACCATATTTGATTGGTTTAAATAACAAACTCTGCAACTATAACATAGACAATCAGTGAAATTATCTTAACAGAATATTCATTAATTTTATAGTCTTTCACCCAACAACAAATAATCAATATTATTTTTGGTAAAATTCCATATTGCACACTTTATTTGTTTTCATATTTTTATGAAAAATGTAAGGCAAGAAACAAACTATATTTCTGAAAAAAGGATAACAATATATAAGTATATCCAATAGAAAGATCATACCTTCTTTAACAAATATAGAAGATTATTTTTCTATTGAATGTATAAGTGAATACCTGAGTGAGAGATTTCCGGTCATTGTTAGCAGAGCCAATATAGACACCTTTATGATCTGATATCCAAACTTTTGCATGGACAGTGCCAGTCACGGTTAGCAGTGAACTGCAAATTATTACTCCTACATCATGTATACCACAGTGTCTTCTTCATTGGGTAGGGGAGATTTGGAAGAATAACGTTGTACAAGGAACTATCACAGATCGATTTAATCAAAACAACAAATTAATCAGTAGATTATCAACTATGAACTATACTCACCGATTGCCTGGATTGACTGGTGTGAAAAACTCGTTAATGGTAGCAGTGAAGAAGTAGATCGATCCCAAATAGAGTAGGAGCGGATCTGTAAAACATAAAACCATATTTCAGTTAGTGAAAAAAAAAGGAGGAAGAGGAGGCGAGGAAGAAGAAGAAGATTCAATCAGAGCATAGGCGGTGGATTAAGAAGAAGAAGAAGAAGAAGAAGATCCATGATGACTTACCTGGCCGGAGTAATTCAGGTCGGATCTTCAGAGTTCAACTGCCGAACTGCAGAAGGGTTTGAAGGAGGGAGTGACGAGAGAGGAGAAACAGGGTTGGAAACTTCGAATCGGGGGTTTTAAGGGTTTTCTGTCATTTTCATTTTTCTTGTTTTAACCGGCTGGAATGGGAATCCAATTCCAAGGGGGTGGGTCGGGAATGGCCATTCCCTCAAATGGGGGAATGCCATTCCACCCTGAATGGGAATCAGATTCCAATTCCACCCAACCAAATGGCTGGAATCAGAATGGACCATTCCGATTCCGATTCTGGACCTCTATTCCTGCGAACCAAACATACCCTAACTTCCTATTGGTTCTTGGAATTCTAATTATTAATCATAACAATACCTATTATTGGTGAAGTTGATCCATCATAGTTTTATTTATTGTGTTAGAGCTGTAGTAGAAATTTTCTGTATGAACTTGTATATGTTTAGCATCAGAAGAAGATTTTATATATGAAGTCTGTAATTTTAAATGTTCTGTTCACTTGTTTCATTATTTTCTTTTGATCGGTAACTGATCAGAAGTTTATTAGAAGCTAATGGGGAAAATTACAAATTCAGAAGAGTAGTCCTTCCCAAGTTAGAAAATGCAGAACTGAGAGCAAGCCCTCATACTACTTTCTCCCAACCAGTGTACAAACACAAAGTCCAAGGAATCTAGATATTAATCATGGAATTGAACCATCAAAAAGATTACCCCCACCTTTTACTAACTTATCTGCTGAAGCACTAGCAGATTTAGGTACCCACTACCCAGTGAAACGAAACCTGTAAGTTTTGTGCCAGCACAAAAGGTTCAAACTCATCCATCTTATAATTATAGTGACCCATGAATCTTCCTCTACTTTTAGGCACAAGTGACTCTGTGAAAATCATAAGGTGATCTTTGAAGCAGTGAAAGAAGTTCTTTGCGAGTGAAATCTCCCCTATGGGACTAGAATAGACGATCATGATGACACCAATATGATTTCTAAGGTCCCCTCCAATTCCATAGTCTTCATGTTTGCCAGAACCATTGATGTCACACTTAAACTTTATGCATCCAACTGGAAGAGTGGGGAGCCATGCGGCCCATGCCTGAACTATTTTCTTGATCAGTCAAGGCCTGCTGGAATCATGATTTGCAATAAATCATCAGTACTGAACATCATGAATTTTTCCATAGATCAGTCAATGCCTGCTGAGTCTGCATCTTTCAAAGGTTCCATAGTTCAATCCATCATCCACAAGCAAATATGGTATATTGATATTTAGAGGAATAGTAGATTTCAAATTCCATAATGATAAATCTGTGAAACAATGTAGAAGAAAACTAAAAAGAAAGAAGAAAGAAAAATGGAAGAGGGATCAAAGTGGGTAGTATGATTACTGAAATATTTGCACAGGGCCAAATGAATTCACAAACTCAATTTCATTCTTTTTTATATGGTAGCCATAATTATTAAATTGTCTCAAGTCAAAGTAACAGAAAAAATGTCTTAACCATAATTCAAAATTCAATTTCATCAGGTATTTTACAGTGTGCAAATGAGAATATTTCAGTAAAATTTCGTTCAAATATGTGTAACAACCAACTATATACCACAAATATAGAATTTTAAGGAGTGGAGATAATGGGGTGCACATGAGGTGGATTGATCTTTCTCACAGGGGATTAAGGAGTGGAGAGTAGATGGGGTACACGTGAGGTTGACTGATTATCACACAGAGCCTGCAGTTATACGGGTTTAATCCCACATCTTCATTTTTGGAGGAACACCGAGTGTGATCATCTTAGCTATTGGGTCATCGGTCTTCATTTTTGGAGGAACACCGAGCAACCATCTTAGCTATTGGGTCATCGGTGACGAGGAGTTTGGTTCAGTAGTCCTCCATGGTTTATGGACATGATCTAGCTTATTTGCTGCCTCAAGAAGTTAGTTTATTCATTAAAAAAAAGGTATTAATGAGAAAAAACAAAAAGAAAGGAAGATTATTTAGTGAGAAATGTTTTTCCTATTTATGGTAAATCTATGATGCAGAAAAGGTTTGAATTTTTTATGATGGAAGAGCTTTGACCAATCCTTACTGCCTCCTCACTTCAGGGTGTTTTAACTAATGCATATGATTTTATTTCTGAAAAAAAAAACTGCTAAATCGGCAAAATCTTATTTTTTCTCTAATGTGGCCATTGTATTTTTGTTTTCACAAGCAAAATCATACGCATTGGCCAACATCCTCTTAGTGCATGCCAGAAACAATACCGTCCCACCAACAGCAGCAGAAACTATTTTCTATTTAGACTTTATTGGTATAACCCTGATGAAGATTTTATTGAAAAGAACACAAAGGATATTTCAGAAGAGTTGATTCATCCATATAATTTGCTCTCTTTTTTGTCAGAAATGGTGTATTTAAAAGGGAAAGAGAAGCTCAACGCAAAAATCAATTGAGAAAACAGTGAGTATATGGAAAATCAGGAAGCAGAGCATAGAATTGGTCACTTTGTAAAGATACACTCCAACATATATCAGACAACACTCATACAACAAATAACATCACTATAGAGTATAGGAGAATTGGCCGTGTCCATCCATAGTCTAACCCTGATGAAGATTGAAGCCACCAGCAGAGAGCAGAGTCCTACTAGTCCTTCACAAACAAACCATTGTCCAATTCAGAGTTGAGAGTAGTACCTTTTTGGCAGAACAGAGTTGAGAGTAGTTGCATCTACAAACACTTATTCTGTATAATTTGTTCATTTATGTTGCAATGACTTCCACAAATTCAACTGGAAATACTTCCTTTTGCTTTATTCATGTGTGAATAGTGAACTCAGAGCTCAGTATTTAACAATAGCTTCATCGTCATTAGAAACAACAACAACAACAACAACAACAACAAAGCCCCACCTGTGTTTATCAACTGGAAACAAGAAGACTAAAAATCCTCTTCATCCTTAACGAGTTATTTCCTTCTCATTGTTCCTTGATAAATAAAAAACCAAACAATCGGCAAGGGAGAAATAAAGGACAGGGAAACAGAGAGAGAAAGAAAGGGGGGAAAATCAAGGCACGATCTTGAAAGCTTTCATCTTGTCAATCCAGGAAATGAAGGCATTGGTGGAATTCCTGAACCCCAAGAAGCCATGCTCTTTGCTCTTGTTCATGTTGTCCAAATAAGTGTCCTTGGCCCCAAGGACGATGTCCACAAACCACCAAAACCCGATCTCCTCCAGCTTGGACGGGACCAAGCCGTTATCATTCACGATCTCGTCCCACACCGCACCTTTATCCTTCATCATCTCCTCCAGGCTCAATCCCCTCTCCTCCTCGAATTCGGCGCATTCCACCCCAAATTGCTCCCCCAACACCTTCCACAGATGCTTCCACTTGAACACATCCCCGTTGCTACAATTGAAGGCCTCGTTCTTGGCATGAGGGTCCACCGACGCCCATATCTGATGCTCCGCGATCATATCAGCATCTGATGCATTCGAGTAGCCTTCCCAGACCTCTCTACTCCCCGGAAACCTGAGCAGTTTCCCCTCGTGCTTGCAGATAGTCGCGTACACGCAGAGCGTCCCCACTATGTTCATCTGGCTGTAAGGGGAGAACCCAAAGATCGTCCCTGGCCGGTGGATGGACCACGTCAGGTCTTCCTTCTTCTCCACCTCTTCGAAGAGGATGTCCTCGAGGGTGTAGTAGAAATTGGGGGCGTCTAATCGGGGGAGATCCTCGTGGTATGGGGGATCGTAGGTTTGAATCTTACCCAAGGACTCGAAGGAGCCGATGTAGTGCTTGCGGCCAGTCTGGAGGCAGATGTGCTGGAGATTTGGAGCGTTCGGGATGACAGCCCTAAGGACGTTGCGTAACATGGCGCCGTTGATTTCACAGTTAGCGGACTCGCTCTGTCGATTGGTCCAGGTTACGTAGAACAGATGGGTGACGTCGGTGAGAGGGGAGAGCTTGGCTAGGGTTTCGTCGGGGTCGGAGACGTCGCATTGGATGTACTCGATGGGGTAATCGACATGCCAGGAGGGGCGGGGCCGCCGGGCAACGCCGTAGACTTTCCATGGGCCGCCGGGTGTGTCGTTCAGCGGTAGTATTTCAGCCAAGCTGTTACCGACGATGCCAGTTACTCCAATCACCAGTCCGACGCTCTGGTGCTTGGGAGGTCCAACATCTTCGTCGGGTTTCTTCTGTTATATTAAATGGAAAGGAATCAATCAATAAAAGATGGTAGATTGGTAGAGAATAGAGATGCTGTAAAAATGTATACACCATCAAAGAACAAATGGGAAAGCTGGAAAAAGAAAAGAAAACAAAAACAACAAAAGTATTTGCCTTTGCAGCGCCAATTGCTCCTGCCCACCACCAACTCATATTCACTCACTGATTCAGATTATGCAGATTAGCGAGCGAGCGAGCGAGCGATAAAAGATGGAATAGAAGAGAAGCAGATGAGTGGAGCACCGGATTGGACTGGCTGTTGAGGAAGACAGGAAAATGAAGAAGGCGATGAGTGGATCTCGTGCCTTTTTTGTCCTTGCCTCTGTTTTGTACCCTTCTATTCTATAACTAATATAATATCCATCTATCTAATAATAAGTTTGTGAACTATAAGTATACAACACAATGAATAAGTATTAAGTAGTGGTCTAGACAGCATAGGTAAGAATATCCGTCCGTTGGCGTTTGGGGCAGGCGCCAGGCGGAAGAAGAACCACGTGCAGCTTTGGTTTTGGAAACATTCGGGCTGGGGACTAGTGACCAGACCGGACCGGACCGGGTTTTAGTCATTGAATTGAACTTGAACAGTTGAACATTGCTGGAGCGCAAGTGACGGACTGACGGTGAAGCCAGCCACAGCTCCCCCATTGGGTTCACAGTAAACCGGGCTAAACCGGCAAATCCGCTCCCTTCCAAGTTCCACCCTGTTTAGTCAACCTCCTAATATCTAAAACAATACATAGTTTAGGATTGGATTTCTTGCAAGCAAGATATATAACATTACCCCTTGAAGCATCTGTGAACGAATCAAATACATTCAAAGAATCCCAGGTTTTCCTCTTACTGTTTCCCACTACTAGTAAAATCACTTTCTTTGGTCTTTCACATGAATAATTGACCCAATTACTCTGTTCCTCTGGCTCAGTTTGGGAAAAATACAAATTAGGGGTGGTAATTTTTGTAACCCAATCCAACCCAACCATTAATTGATGGGTTGGTTTGTATCCATTTAATCTGGGTGATTTGCGGGTTGGATAATCCAATAAAAGAAAATTTGATGGTTTGGGTGGATTGGTTCATAGTTATCCAACGGGTGGCCCATTAGCCTCTTGTTTTAGTTCAACATCGATAAGGAAGATCTTCAAACTTTTAACTTTTGCTGGAGATTAGGTTAAGTGGTCATGAATCTCAATCTCAAATACTCAAAGAAATCAAAGAAGCCAACTATTGTCAGAGAAGACCCGCTTGAAGCTGCAAAAAAAGTATTGTGTCTCGATTAAGCACCGCCACTCTGTTGTCAATTCTAGTAAGCTTCAAAGGTGGAAAGCTAAGCTACCGCCTGTGCAACGCCTGGTTTGATCTCTCAATTCTTTCCGTTTATTTACAGGATTGTGAAACTATTTTGTCCCCCTACTAGCTGGGTCATCAACTGCCAGTCACCCACTCAATAGTTGAACTTGAAACAAAAGATGGACCTCTCTCTCATGCAATCATGGTTTGGCAGTTAAGTAGACAACATGCAATACAAGTACATCAAGACGTTTGATCATCCTAATTTAATTTTCCTTACACCATAAGGGGAAAGAAAGTTGGTAGGTTTTTTTGTTGATCATACTGTACTGATTGTTATACGTTACAGGTAGGTCTATATATTCGAAAATCCACGGCTGGACATCGAATCCAATTATTTCAAATTCGGTTGATGTATTTGTATAATTGGATTGGATCGGATTCGGGTTTTACTTTATTCAAACTAATTAAAATCTAAATTCGATTAAATTATAATATTTATTGATTCTAATATATAAATTTTATATAATTATATTTAAAATTGTAAGAAATATGTTTTTATATATTATATCTCATATGAATTGATAAATTAACGCTATTGTTTAGTTAATTGATAAATTATACATTTTACTGTTTAACTATTGCCTTAAACCATTCCTATTATTTCTAACAATTGACTAGCTCTACCCTATACATTAATGTCCTTAATGTTCCATCAAAATCTGTACACATTTGACAGCACATGACATATAAAACTTTTTTAAAACCCAATAATATTCTTCATCCCTTAGCCCAACCAGAATCACATGCTCGTTCAAAACCCTTCTCTTTTCCCTCTTTCTCCCCTCCCTCTTCTCTACCGTATCAAGGTGCCAAATATAAATATGAATCTATCACCGCCTCCATCTTCTACATCATCATCTTCTTCCGAATGGGAAAGAAGTTGCAGTTAAACAGCTCAAAGCTAGTAGTGGGCAGGGGGAGCGTGATTCAGATCATATTTTTCAAGGAGTTCACCCATCTTCTGCCTCCATGCCTACGGTCTTGCTCCCATTCCCAGTGCCCTAAAACACTGGATTATGTTCTCAGAGGGGCCTCAACAACGTTAGGTAACTCTAGAACCAGTAGCCTCAACGAAGTGGGTTCAAGCTCCAAGGATTTTCAACAAGATAAAAAAGACAAGTGTTGGCTTCAGCTGCGAATTGATGATTATGTGATGGGATGAATCGATTTTTAACCATTTTCTCCTACACAGATGAAATGGTCACTGAACGCAGAGTGAGAAAATAATACCTCAGGATGCTTTTACACAAGAGAACTATACCTCTACTTAATTAATCCAAAGACCTATGTCCTTTTCTTCTCTTTTCTTCTGCGGAACCCTAAAATGCTCAACAGATTAAACTTCTAACTCCAATTGATTCTGTAGCACTGTGCCTCATAAAGTTGAATAGGTTAACAGAAATGAAAATTGTTAGAAAAGATAGGCACATAATAGCAAGGTAGTTGTAACAGAAAAAGATCCAAACATGTGGCCATCTTGTTAGGCCCACTTGTCCACTTGATTGAAGTTGGTTAGGACTTGTATATATATGTATCAACTAATAAAATATTTGCAAGTGCATTCTTCTCTCATCCGATACCATTTACATGATATTAGAGCCAACCAGTTCTGATCTACAGATTTCTCTCCTTTTGTTGATCCTACTCTGCATCAACACTCTGTTAATGGCGATGATAGAGGCAAAATCAAGCTCGCTGCGCATAAACAACTCTGTTGACATTAGGTTAGATTCGCTGAGCTCACCATATTATCTTCATCCTTCCAACAATCCAAAACTGATTCTTGTGTTAAATCCACTCATCGGTGATAACTTCCATACCTCGAGGCGTGCGATGAAGATTGCACTTCTTGCAAAGAATAAGTATAAGTTTGTTGATGGTTCTTTACCGCAACAGTCGTTTTCTTCGCCGGAAGAGGAGATTTAGAGCAAATGTAACTCCATGGTCGCCTCTTGGATTCTCAATTCATTGACAAAAGAGATCCATCACAATGTCACCTTCATTGAATCTACGGCAGAAATATGGCGTGCACTTGAAGAACGATTTGGTCAAGGCAACATTCCATGTATCTATCAGCTTGAACAGGATCTCGCCTTACTTTGACAAGGAGATCTCTCTTTTGCTGCTTATTTTACTCGTCTAAAAATTCTATGGGATGAGCTCGGCATTCTCACAAATCTACCTGAATGTACCTATGTTGCGATGAAATCCGTCCTTGTTGATCAAGAACAGAGAAATATCCATCAATTTCTTATGGGACTCCGAGATCCTTTCAACATGCTCCATTCACAAATTCTTGGATCTTATCCTATGCCACCTTTGAATCGAGTTTATGCATTGGTTATACAAGAGGAACGCCATCAATTAACTATCTCCTTGCGGAGTCCATTCAATCTTGATGCCATGGCTCTCCACATTGCCTCCAAACTACTTGGTCATCCATCTGGTCAGAATAGACCCTACTGTGATCATTGTAAGCATCCAGGCCACATAAGAGATAAGTGTTATGAGCTCGTTGGGTATCCTCCTGGCTGGACCCGCCGAACTACTGGTTCTAACAAAAATACACGTCCTCCAACTGGATCTGATAAACCCAATCAAGATTTCCTTGTTATTGGACCTTCACTCCAGCAGTATAACCAACTAATTTCTCTTCTCAACAAAGACTCAACAAAGACTTCAACTAATCTCTCCGATAAGACCATCCCTCTTGAATGGATTCTTGATAGTGGTGCATCCGACCACATTATATCAGATACATCTCTATTTCTTACCATTCTCCAATGCCTAATCCAAAATTGGTACATCTACCCAATGGTGCTACTGTTTCTATCTCACACCATGGCATAGTCTCTTTGACTTGTTTCTCTAGGCACCTTAGCCATGCCTCTAGATCTTGCTTATCCTTATTCCTTGTGATTGCTCTCTCTCCACCTGATGTATGTTGCAATGCCTATCAACGTGCAAATAAGGTTCAAAGTATCGACACGTATCAGCTCGTATTGACTGATACGTATCATTCTGGGACCCCTCCGATACGCCCCTATAGTGGGTGTATTGGAGGTTTGACCGGTTCAGGGGGTAGAAGAGCCCTAAACCAGCCCCCCTGAACCGATTGCGAAAAAAATAAAAAAAAAAAGCAATAAAAATGAGTATCGATTCACCCGATACGCCCCTACTGGCATATCGGGCGTATCGATATTTTGAACTTTGCGTGCCAAGCAGACATAGTCTCGATTTCCAATCAGCCATGTTAGTAACACTTCTCCATTTCAATTGTTACATTGTGATATATGGGGCGGTTACAAAACCCCTTCTCATACCAATGCACATTTCTTTCTTATTGTAGTAGATGATTTTACTAGGTATACATGGACATTTCTCATGAAACAGAAGTTTGAGGTTTTCCACTTTCTCACAAATTTTTGTATAATGGTTGAAACACAATATAAGTGCTCAGTTCAACAGGTTCGATCTGACAATGGTCTTGAATTTTTATATGGGCCCTTACAAAGGTTCTTTCAACAAAAGGGTATTATCCACCAACGGTCGTGTGTAGATACACCACAACAAAATGGCGTTGCCAAGTGCAAGCATCGGCACTTATTGGAGGTTGTACATGCTCTTCGTCTTCAAGCAAATCTCCCAGTTTCATTTTGGGGTGAATGTCTTCTTACAACAACCTATCTTATCAACATTGCACCCACGCCAATGTTGGGTGGCAAGTCCCCATATGAGAAGTTTCATCTTGGCCCACCCAATTATAGCCATCTCCAAGTATTTGGGTGCCTCTGCTATGCACAAATATAGTCAGCTCCCCATGACAAATTTGCATCCCTCTCTAACGATGCGTGTTCATTGGCTATCCATATGGTTAGAAAGGGTATAGGGTGTTCAACTTGGACACCAAACAGATATTCACTTCTCAAGACGTGTCTTTTTATGAAATTAAGTTCTTGTTTGCAATTGTATCAACTACCAGTTCCACTGGTACTGTCATTCCATTAGCCCAACCAGATGATAGGTGTGAT